GGCCTCTCTCATCTTTTTAAGTGGGAGAGCTTGCACAATTGGTGGCTGACTAAATACTTTTTTGCCCCACTGTATGTGTAGAGGTGGTCAGCTCCCCTTCAATGGATGAGCTCAAGAGGAAGTTTTCAGGGAAGATGAGTTGGACTCAATGGTCCTTTACTCTTTATCAACATTATTGCTGGATAAGTTAAGTCTTATAAAAAGTAGATAATTTCTCAAGTTACATGTTAAAAGTTTCCACTCCTAAGGTCAAGGAATATTTGTGTATCACCTGAAGCAACCAGAGAAAAAGGATCCAGGACCTAATTACCTCAAAATCCATTAGCTCAAATAAGTTAAGTTTCTCTATTTACTGATGACCACACTTTATCTTTAAAACCAAAAATATAAATGTAGACAAAGAAGCATTCCATAAAGATAAACATGGGTTCCATTTCAGTTACCTCAGAGTTTCAATCTATTTTCACATCCCTCTGTGAATTAAATTCAGCAATGAATAGGCAACTCAAATAAGAAGATCTTACCCCATTTGCAGAAATAAACTCTATACTTAACAAACTTCCATACAAAGAATGTCATAATTTCACACTTTGTTCTTCCTGTGAGTGAAATCATGTTTCTTAATTTCTCTCATATTTTGAATGCAGGGAAAATTTTAGAAGCGTAGGTGATTTGCAGAGAATTAAGTTTAACCTTGACTTCCTTCCTTATTATATAGGCGCCTGTGATGCCCACATCCTGGGAGTAAGTAACCTAGTGTCCTCTGGTTATTTTGAGCCATAATTCCAACAATCCTTTGTCACTGACCTGGCTATCTAAAGCTGGTAAGTACTGAAGGATAAAGCATCTTTGCTGATAGAGGCAAGGATAGCAAGCCAGCCTTGCTTATAAGACCCAACAAATAGGAGAAAATAGAAACTGACCTTTAAATTGATGCGATCAAGGAGATCCTCCACAGATTTGGGCTGAGGTAGTCTTCCTTTTCGGCGCCTCCTCGTGGGCCTTTTAGGCTTCTCTTCTTCTTCATTTAACACATCCACATAGATGAATTTGAAAGTACCAACTTTGTTGTTCAGAAGACCCATCCAGGTACCCATGGGAGGCTTGCTAATTATATCAATAATATCACCCTTCTGTAGTTGAGAAAAGGAAGAATGCATTTGAAAGATGTACTAAATCAATCTAGATAACTCTTATTGTGTACAACCCCTTATGGAACACTTATTAAAGAAAGTATGAAACTCTAACCAAGTAAAAGGATAGCTGAATTATTTTTTCTTTACGTGAAGAGACCCCACAGTCCACTTCTTAATTCTGTAATATTTTAACTATACATAAAACATACTTTTCTCTATTTTTTTAAAAAAGTGGATACTTGTATAGAAGTCTTTTTTAAAATCACCTTAGGCATGAGTCTTCATGACTAAGTGCTAGCAATTCATGCCTGAAAATACTTTTTGCCAAATGTGTAAGTGGAGCTAAAAGTAACCTGTCACTATTGGCTCATTTTCTGATCCACACTCATGTTTCTGCCTTTTACAGGACCTTTTCTATAAAATAAATACCTAGGTTGACTTTTACAAAACTGCATGAAGACTCTTATAATTAATTATCCAGAAAAAAGTGGGGGAAAGAGAACATGTATGTATGAGAACAGGGTATTTGAAGGACCGCCTTACTCCCATCATTTGTACCTGTCCCGTTAGGTCGGGTAAGAGGGACATCTTCTAGGTCCTGTCAGTCAGGGATTGTCATCTAGTGGGACCCAGGAAGTGTGCCTTTTCTGTAGCTGCGCCTGTTCTCTGGAAGGCTCAGTTAGCCCTGATTTTGCTCACCTTTCGGAAAGCCTTGAAGACCTGGCTGTTTTCCCAGGTATGAGGATCAAGAGAGTAATTGAGCCCACATTGTTGATGTATGGTGTCTTCGGCAGCCACTTTGTGTTTTAGTTGGTCTAGACATGTATTTTTATGTTGTATTTATATTGTATTTTCAGAACTTTGTTAATTACCCAGAGTCACATTAGTGAGATGGGCAGCCATATAAAACAATTTAAAGGAAGAAATAAATGCATACACAAAAGGTACATTACAACAAAATAGTTCCATAGCCATTTTAAAAGTAGTTAATCACTTTAAAGATATTGATCAACATTTGTAAAAATGATAGCCTTTCTAAAAAAGGAAGATATTTAGAACCTTCCTAACAATGAGGAACTGGTCTATCAAAGAGAATTGGATAGGTGGCCCTGTCCATCAGATCTCAGGTCCAAGTATGGGAATATAGGAGAAGGCTTCCTTTCCAGTTTAGTACCTTTGTAAGCAATCTCCCTGAATTCAAATTTGCCAATTAATTCAGGAAAAATACCTTGAGTTTAAGAGAATCTGTATCATAAGGGCTGGGGGTAAAGTCAGTGTGAACCCTGGCACGGCCACAAAAAGGCCCTCTGTATGCAAGTTCTTCATCGTCACCATCTTCAGACTTAACACTTTCTCTATTGCTGGTTGAAGAGTCTGTCGTGCTTACTGTCTGCCCACCTGTTTGTGCAGGAAAAAAGGCAAAAGCAAAGGAATTGCAAATTACAACAAGCAGACCCCAACATACAATCCCCAAAGATGTCAGGAACATTCCTTTGATACTATTCTAACACCATTGTAGGTGTGATTAGACAGCAAACACAGCAGATCTGTGGCCTTTTGTTTCTTTATGGCATTTTTTCACCTTCAATGCTCATCTGATTAGCTCCTCAGATGCAGTGTTGCTGTTCTTGCCTTAGCACAACTTTTGTTGTCCTCCCAAAAGTTAATGCAGATCCTAGCCCTCAACTGAGCCCTCTATAGCTGTACTATGCTTCCTAAACGAAGAGCCGCAAAAATAGATTAAAAAAAACAATAATAATCTCCACTACCTTTGATGCTTGATTCAGATTCAGTTCAGATTTGAAGGCTCAGATTCAGCTTTAAAAAGACATCTGCTTGTCTCACTGTTTAGGACACTTAGAGAGAGCCAGTTTGGTGTAGTGGTTAAGGCATCAGGCTAGAAACCGGAACATTGTGGATTCTAGTCCTGCCTTTGGCACCAAGCCAACTGGGTGACCTTGGGACAGTCACTCTCAGCCCTAGGAAGGAGGCAATGGCAAGCCGCTTGCCAAGAAAACTGCAGGGCCTAGTCCAGGCAGTCACCATGAGACAACATTGACTCAAAAGTGCACATGCACGCACATACACACACACAAGGACAATTAATAAGAGTTCTTAGGAACTACGGCTGTTTTGAGATTTCACAAAAATTCTGTTATATCTGCCTTTTTTAAAAGGACAGAAATGAGGTAGACAATTTTTGTATCCTACATGTCTTTCACTCTAGGTAAATGTATATTATGGACTCAACATTATATCTGTAAGTGCCTTCACATTCAGCTATGGCCTTATATTTAAAATCTTTATTTCTGACATTTTAGTTCCTTTGACTGTATTTATCTCTGTGTGTGTGTGTGTGCGCACGCATGTGTGCGTGTGCGCACCTTCGAATCATTGTTGGCTCCTGGTGACTGCTTGGACTAGGCCCTGCAGTTTTCTTGGCAAGGTTTTTTGGAAGTGGCTTGACCTTGCCTCCTTCCTAGGGCAGAGGGAGTGATTGACCCAAGGTCACCCAGCTGGCTTTGTGCCTAAGGCAGGAAACCAAACTGGTTCTCAGTTTACCATATATTGCTCTAACCCAAAGGCCAGATAAAGCTTACTATCCATCTTCTGATGCTTACAAATGTTAACTAAAAAACTTATAGAGGAGGTGGTGATCACATACAGAATATCTGATTTGTTTAGAACTTGCTTATGCATTAATATTTGTTGCCAACTTTCACAACTTTTGGTTTTCTTCGGTTGAGAAGGCAAGCTCTTAGAAAATGCTAGCAAATCATTGAATTCCACGTACAGTGGTACCTCGGGATATGAACGCCTCTACTAACGAATGTTTCGGGTTAAGACCAGCTTCAGCAGGAAAAATTTGCCTTGGGTTGCGACCACATTCGGAGGGCGGAACGGATTAACCGGATTTACATTGAACCCTATGGGAAAATTTGCTTCG